CCTAGTGTAGTGTGATACATCATCCGGTGCTTAGGAGATCAATTCCATATACAAGACTGATTTCCTAAGCACCAGTACTTAACTAAACACTTGGGTGACGTGACACACTAAAATAGATAATGTGAGACAATGGTTGATTAAAAAAATTGATTATACCACATATTGTAGTGTGACACATCATTCAGTGTTTATCAGATCAATTTCGGATCTCCTAAGAACTAGTGATGCTTAGCTATAGGTGGTGCGAGATAAGGTTGGTTATAAACCGATTATACCACCTATTGTAGCGTGACACGTCATTCGGTGTTTAGTAGATTAATTTTGTATACATGATAGATCTCCTAAGCATCGGTGCTTAGCAAAACTTAGGTGACGTCGCACACTACAATAGGTGGTGCGAGATGGTGATTGGTTACAAAACTGATTACACCACCTATATAGTGTGACACGTCATCCAGGCACTGGTGCTTAGGAGATCAATTTAATATACATGACTGATCTCCTAAGCCCTTGGGTTACGTGACACACTACATTTATATGTGTGTGTGTGGTGTTGTTATTGAAAAGAACGTGTACTATTTATGAAAAGGGCAAATTTTGTTTTGGGTCCTTGACCTTCTTTATTTGTGACAATTTTGTTCCTATCCATTTTCATCCTTTCTCCATCCCCAACTGTTCATTTGTACTCTCATATCGTCTCTTCTGATAATTTTCATCTACTTTTACCGTTAAGGTCCTATAAAAGGACAATTCAATACTCTTTGACTTAAAATAAATTTGAAAGGGGAAAAACGAAAACAAAAAAAGAGAGGTATATATAAGATAATTGATACAAAATGTTTCCACTGTTTGCTTCAATGCACAAATCGTCTATATTATTTCACTTTTGACATATGAACTCTTAAATCAATAATTATTTGCGCAAATCATCTCTTCCGTCTCTTTCTATCCACTTGCTTCATCAAATGGTTGATTGTAGTTCGCTTATTTTATTTGTTCAAGACACTAATTGACCATTTTTTTCCTAGAAATTTGAGTTTGACATTTTAAAGTAGAGTTCTGGATGACATCTCATAATTGTCTTGATGAGTTACTAGGTCAAATATCAAGTTTGCTATGAAAATCTCAAG